ATGATTAGGTAGCAAGTAGAAGAGGAAGCAGGCAAGTTTAAGGCTTATTGCTCCCAGAAGGAGCACAGGATCAGCTCCAGAGCAGGCTGTAATGGGAATTGGGAAGGTGTAACCTTTATGCACCAGGGCATGTACGGGAATGGTTAGGACTGAAGGAAAGCTCACCAGGGAAAAGCTGGATCTGGGAAGTCACTTTCCATTAATGAAGGAAAGGCTGAGTTGATTCTGAAGGGGCTGACAGGAAAAACAGGGGGGTGGCATCAATTAGGGAAGTCACCCTCAAGCTGAAATAAGATATTCCTGAGCTGAGGAAGCCACTTCTGGGATGTGTAAGGATGTGGCCCAGTTCATGTGCTACTGCACAAAGTGTTTCTTTCTGTCACTTGCTGTCTCTGAAGCAATTAATGGAGATGGTTTACACTAAATGTTTTAAAGTAAGTATTTTTAACCATTGTCTACTTGCTTTTTAGACTTCTTTCCCGTATCACTCATGTGAAGTTTTCATGGGAGATAGCAAAAAAAAAAAAATCTACTACAGTCCCATTATATTGTGCTCCTTTTAGGTGCATCATGATGAAACCTGAATTACAAGCTTAATCTCCTACTTACTCAAAATTTTGTCTTTTTTTTTAACCCTAGTTTCAAAACCTCTCAAACAACAGAAGTGGACACTTAATATACCATCAGTTGGGGAATGTAAGTACAAATGCATGTCTGAATTTTTAGTATATTCAAAGGGGAAGGAGAAAAATTTTAATTCTGAAATCCTGGCATGAGCTTCTAAGACATCAAATACCTGAGAGAGATATTTTGACAGCAATTACTCTGTGCATGTAAGCAAAGAATGAGACACGTTTAAAACTCATAATTCACAGCTTTTCATGACCCTGAATATCACAACACAAGCACTCTGTATTAGTTTACAGAAAATCCAAAAAGCCAACTGTACATTGATTAGAAGAGCGATTTTGGTAGGGAAATAACTTGTTTGTTGCAATGTTTGCTGAATTCAAAAAGCTTCAAAAGAATCAGTGTAGGGAAAAAAAACCACCACAGGAAAAAAAAAAAGGCAATCCTTAAAAATAGCTCTGAAAGGAATTTTGCTCAGCAAATCAAAATGCATTAGGGAAAGAACAACTTAAGCTTTTCAGAGCACCAAAAAACACAGACAAAACAAACACTGTTAGAGCTGGAAAAGACCCTGAGACACTGAGTAGATGGAACTTTTTGTTATATTTTAAACAGCCACATTTAATTGTTTCAGAAAGTAGATTGTTTCACATGAAAGAGATTGAGCTCTGAGTGGGTAGTTTGACATACGGTTTAAGTTGACTCCATGTCAACACAATTTGTTCCAGGTGCTTCAGAGTCCCTGTGCCTGGTGATTACTGGTGGCAAGGGTGACACTGTCCCCAAAGCAGGGCAGGCTCTAAAGTGTACACAGCTCTTACCAAGCTCAGGTAGTTTCTTTTTTTTTTTTTTTTTGAAGTGGAACTCTGCACAGCTGAGGAAAGGAAAAAGACCAAACCCAACCCTGAGAGGTCTTTATGCTATTCCTCTTCCCATCTTTCACTCACTCTGCCTTGAGGTGAGCTGGAACCTTTCTCTCCTGGAACCTTTCCCTCCCTTTCCCTCCTGGAAACCTTCAGTGCAAAACGAGTCAGTGCAAACCCCGTTTCCATGCTGGCCCAGGCACTGCAGGGGGGAAGGTCTGGGAAGTCACCATGGAAAAAGAACAATGGTCCCAAATGAAGTTCAGGACTTTGTACCTAGGCAGAGAAAGGGGCTTGGCAAATTCCAGGGAAATACCTGCCTGAAACCTTTGCATTCCTGGTCAAAGCTAGGCGTTATTTGCACACCTGAAACGTGCAGGTACACATGAGCTAAGAAGGAACAATACTGTACATGTCCTGCACGTGAGGTACAATCCAGATAAGACAAAAATTTGCTTTGAAAGAGCTGCTCCTGATCACACCAGGTTAAGTGGATGGGGCTGGAGAGGAGATCCATAGATTCAGGAAGGAAGTTTTCAAAACATATCTGCAAACTTGGTTATACTGCAGGGCAGAAATGTTTTGTGGACCAGTTCAAACTGGGAAGGAGGAGCCATTATCATGAATAACACCCTGGCTCAGGTGTGTCAGCTGCCAGAATCTAATTCTGGCATTGCTAGGGATGCTGCAAAAGTTGATATTTTAATACTGCTCCATGCAAGGAACTCTTGAAAGCATGAAAAAGTCATTAGCCTCAGATTTCAGTCCAACTGCCTGCAGAGCAGGAGGAGGGAGCATAGAAATGTCAAGTCCCTGAAAAGTTTTAGAGATGATACTACACCATCTAAACAAGGGATTAGCAGTGAAAAGCCATCCTTTTTTCTTGGAGAACACATTTTCCTTCTAAGCTGCTGGACACATCAGGGGCTGGCATGTTCACTTCTGGCATCTTGAAGAGCATTTGGGTCTTAGATCCTTTTGTTTGTTAGAATGTGACATATTAAGTATGACACTTAATTAGCTGCTCCTCGAGTGGAGGGCCTAACATACCATGCCTCTGCTATGGTGTTGCAACAACAAGTACTGTAACTCAGACCAAAACTCTTGCAATTATTTTGTTTGTCACCACAGGTGGATTCCTGCCATGGAATTTCATGTGGGGCACAGCAGCTTTCATGACTACATAAGAGCCTCCATCTGAAAATACCTTGCTCCTTTTCCAAGGAAGTTATGTAAATTAATTTTGACAGTGTAAGGCTTCAAATCTGAAGGCTGCTGGATTCCCTGGTGTTTCTCCTCAGCGTAGTGTATAGAGCAATACAGAAACAGAGGGTCAACTTGTTCAGCTTCTTTGTGCTGCACTGCAAGTGAGTCACAGCTGTAAGGTTAATGGCTGATTAAGTGGGGAAAAAAAGGGTATTTTGCTACAGGTGGACAGGCAGTTGTGCACTTGTGATCAATGTCACACCACCAACACACCATGAAAGGAAAGACTGGTGACAGTTTTGTCCAGTGCTACAGCACTTTCTTCTAATTTGCTTAAACAGAATAAGACACAGGTAATGGGCATTCCACATTGGAATAATAATGGCTGAAATTTACAAAGTAAAACAGTTGTTCCTGTGTACTGAAAGAGCTTAAAACCAAGACACAAATGCATCCAAACTGTAATATTACCTTTAAATTCCCATAGAAGAAATATTTTAAGGTTCAAAATGAAGACACCCCCACCCCCCCAGCAGATTCTTGTTTCAGTTTCTGAAGAGAAAAATACTGAGGCCTTCATGAAGTGTAAAATCATTTTAGAATATTCATGACCTTTGGAAAAGGTCAGAGACAGGGAAAATGATGTATATTAAGAAAGATGGGCATCCAATCAAGGAAGTGTTCTGGTCTCCAAAAATATTAAGTATGTTCAATTATGCAGGGGGAAGGAAGCTTTAGAGCTAGATGTCAATTAAAAGAATAGTTAAATTTTGCTCTTAGTTGTAAAACTGAAGCTACTTCCCCAGGCAACTTATTTCCTTTCAGTTTAATTGATTTGTTTTTGAGATGGTAGAATTCCTACTTATACAGATTTAGATGCTCCATTTTTATTACTAAATTAGTAGTCAGTGTCCAGTCTATCAGTCAAGATGCGAAATCTGTGGGTCTGGTGTGTTTTCATTCCTCAAATTACTCTTTCAACCATGTTAATGGAGCCTTTCCTCCTTTTTTCTTGTCAAATTAAGGACCTCATAAAATTTACCAGAGCATTTGCTCATATATTGAATATCATGCAGTATTATATAAATTTCTCTGTAAAAACCTGCGTGTTGGTGGAAATATACATCACCTCTTTAAATAATTTTTTTCTTATAAGGCTTTATGATAGCTAAACTATGACACTGCAGATGCTAAGTACAAAAGGCCATTGTGTGCAAATAGATAAAGGGAACAAAAAATAGTCAGAGGGAGTTTGATGTTCAGCTAGACCTGATTTTTTAAATTTAATTTTTACCCCAATGTCCACCTATGGCTGGGCAGGAATCCAACTGATCCAAAGCACTTTCATGATGATTTTTTTCCCCGGCATGTGGTAACTAAAATTCAGGATATTTGTTTCATTCCTTCGAAACGACACCGACACAGAACTTTTCTAACATTTTGCTGGAAAACTAGGAGCTTTTAATATTTAACTTCTACTGTTTATACATCATCTAAATTAAAAAAGAGACAGACAGAAAAGAGGTTGTTACGCTCCAGTGGTTTAATTATTATCATTAGCAGCACAATTTTAAAATATGTCTATAAATAGGGGTTTTTTTTTCCATTTTCTTCCTTTTCCTTCTGCTTGCCTCACATGCCTCCATACTTATTTTTAATTCCTTAATCAGATATGATTACAATTCCCTTTTCTAGCTACACCACCACTTCAGTTTAGAGCGCAACAATGAGTATGGCGTCAATGAAAATCCCAAAAATCCCCAAGAAAGCTATTCAGCTTTCTAGAAGGTCAATGTATATTGTGCAGATGTATAATGTATATTTATGATGTATATTGTAGTTTTGTGACAGAGCACTGGTGTGATGTTAGCAACTTGTTAAAGTCGAACTTTTCCTCCCTGTTCGACTACATTTTGTGTACTTTTAGTCAGAAAACCATGCCTTCGCTGGCTGTGTCGTAAGAACATACAGTATGTTTATTTTGCTTTTAGACAAAACGCGTCACGTTTGCGCGTTCGCAAGGATGCCCGATTTCTGCCTCGAGATCCGCGCTCCCTCAAAACCAACCCCCGAGAGCCAAGGATTGCTCGGCCTCGAAGCGGAGCTGCCTGCACGCACTGGCGGAACACGAAAAGAAGCGGCGGGACGAGCCCGGGGCGGGGGACAAACCCTCACGGAGTCCCCCGTCCCCTCACGGCGCCGCTGCCCCGCCGGGCGCGCGCGCCCCCTGCGGCCGCCCCCGCCCCGCCCCGCCGCGCGCGCGGCTGGCCCCTCCCCTCGGGAGCCGGGCTAGCCCCCGCATCCAGCCCCTCTTCCTGCCCCCCTCCCCCGGACTCCCGCTCGCCGCTCCCGGTGGGATGGAAGTCCCCCCCGCGAGCCGCTTCCTTCTCCCCCGGTAGCAGGCGGCGGGGCCCCGAGTTCGGTGCAGAAATGCTGGGCATGTACGTGCCGGATAGGTTCGCCCTGAAGTCGTCCCGGGTGCAGGACGGGATGGGGCTCTACACGGCCCGCAGAGTGAAGAAGGTGGGTGATGGCGGGGGAACGGCCTGGCCCGGCCCGGCGGGGAGCGGCTGCCACGTATCACCGGGGAGTTGGGCGGCTCTCCCGCCCCTCTGCCCCGCTCCAAGTTCTCCTGAGCCGCGCTGTGCCCGCCCGGGCTCCCTGTGCGCACGGCAGGCACCGCCCGCCCGCTCTCCCCTCCCGGTACAAGGAGTACAAGGAGCCTCCCCGGGGCGCTGCCGCCGCAGGCGGGAAGGGGCGAGGGGGCCAGCGGAGGGTTTGCTCCGAGGAATTTAATTCCCCCCCCCCCCCACTTTTTTTTTTTTTTTTTTTAAACTTGGTTTGTGCATCTGGCGCAGTGTTTAGGGCAGAGCTCCCCCGGCGGGACCGCCTCCCCGAGGGTCCCGCTCTGAGGGGGGGGGCGCCGCCCGGAGCTCTCGGGCTGCCCTCGCCTCCCTCACGGCTCCCCGGGCTCGGCGGGGCCGTGGTTTAATTCCGTTTTTCGGCGTAATAAAGCCGGGCCCCTGAACGATGTCATTCAGCTGAACCGAGTCTCGTACTCCAACCAGGTGATGCCTCTTCACGCTTCATAATTGAAAGTATCTTGATCATGTGAAATTCCAGCTGAGGTTGTCCAGGTGGCTTGTTAGGACACATAAAGGCATACCAAAACTACGAACACGTCATTAGTATCCACTTTTCTGTGTTTTGTACGTTTCGCCTTCCATCTTTGTCCTCATTTTGGCTCTGATTTTTTTCCTAATTTTTCACTGGTTTCATCAACAAGGCTTAGGCTCGATGGGGTGGAGGTCTCACATTTTTAAGGTGTCCCTGAGTGTTAGGAAGAGAACAATTTTATTTTGTTTGGTTTAATTCTTTAAAACTTTTTTACTGAGGTTCTGAAGTTTCATTTCAAAACTTCTTGGGTTTACACAGCAAGGAAGGTTGTACACTATTAGCATTTGTTCATCTCTGCACTCTGAAATAGAGTGAAACTCATGGGAATCAGCATCCCCAGTTCAGAGCTGGGGGTCTGAGCTTCTGTCCTTTACTCTGTTGACAACTGACCCACTGGAGCTGCATGCTGGGACAAATACAGCGTTTTCTTGCCTGAATTATTCCACCTCACTTAGGACAGACAGCTGTGGTGTGCAAAGCCCTGCTCTGAAGAACAGGCAGAGGAACCAACTCTTGAGTTGCTCTGTGGTTTATTAAAACATACTCCTAAAATTTTCTGGGGACCTAAGTCCCGAGTTCTCTCTTGGGAGAAGGGTGGGTGTCTAAATAACACAGGTTGTACACTGGACACAGCAAGACTCCATGTTCCTCTTTTCCATGGAAAGAAAAGGTGCTCTTAACTTGTTCCCCTGTGTAGTAATGAGGCAGAAGTGCCACACTTTGTGGCTGTGATTAAGAGTAGCTTATAGCTGTTAAATTAATTCCATGGAGTTTTGGGACTGGGAGGAGGTGTTGAATGTGACACTTTATTGTGAAGTTAGACCTAAGTTCCTGAGTAGGAAATGCTGCACTGTTGCTGTCACACAATTGCAGTTTTCTGAACTTAAAAAAAAAAAAGGGTGATCTTATAATCAGAAATTGCAGTACCAGCTCTCCAAGTGTTGTGGAGGCCTCTGAAAATTCTGCTATTAGCAAAGTTTTGGTAATAACACATTCTGAACTGCTACTGCCTACCATCTGCTTGTGTACCTTCAGGCATGGGGGGCTTTCAGGATTTTGTTTGTAATCATAAAAGGTGCAGACTTTTTGCTTTGTTGCCTTAACAAAGCTCTGATTCCCGCGTACCTGCTGTTTTCCACGAGCTGGCCTCAGGCTGCAGAGCACCCGCATCATGAGGCTCTAGGCATAATCATCAGAGAGCCATTGCACTTCTCAGTGTTTTGCTGCAACTGGAAGATTAGTCACTGCTGCTTTTTTGAAAGCACCTGTTGAAAATAGCTTTTTCAGCACTGGAAAAATGTGCTTTTCTATGCTGAATCATTTCTCTGCCCTCAGATTGTGTTGTATGCTTCGCTTTTATTGAGCAGAGGGGAAGTTGAAGTCTAGAGTGTGCTTTTGATTAATGTTGGCATATAACAACATGTTTATTAACCAGAAATAATGTGTGTGTGTGTATATATATATATACGAAGAAAATGGTCTGAAAGGCTAAACAAATAATTGCACTTATCCAAGTGCATGAACCAAGACATCAGGTTTTGGTTCCTCCCCAAATTTGAGAAGCCATAAAAAGTGCTCAGAATCTGCATCACCTGCAGCTTATGTTATGTTTACTCTGCGTTCAGAGGTGGGCATGTTGCTTCTGCAGTTGTTCTGAGCTTCCAGAAGGTCTTGAATGCTTGAGTATTGCAGTGGGGATTTCCTGGTTTGGAGTGCTGAGGTGGGAATGGTGTGTGGTGTTTGCTGTTCTGAGCTGTTCCCGTGCTTCAGCAATGGGTGAAATTAACACTGTGGGTGCTGTACATATAGAGCGGTGTTTACCTGTTTTCACCTTCCTTGCTGATGAGGTAAGAGAAGGAGGAAGTTTCAGCCCGAGTATTGAATCCCAGGATTTGAAAAACTGGCAGGGGAGGAGCTCTGACATTATTAATCAGAAGAATGATGAAGGGTGCTATGGAAATCAATGAGAAGCAAGGACATGAAGCTGCAGAGTGCAGTTTTTACTGTCACTGCCCTTGTCTGATTCCTTTGTTGCTCTGGACTCCAGTTGCTGACTTCTGCTGTTCTTGTGTTTTTACCTTCTGCTTTGCTGTTCCTTGTAGTGAAATGTCCTTTGTGCACATTTAAATATTTGTCCCTCAGTTCTGTTGCCTCATTCTGCAATGTCAGTTTCCTTGTCCTTTGTTTGTTACCACTTCAGGTTTAATTTTAAATACAAAGTTGTTTGTTTTTCTAAAAAAAAAAAAAAAAAAAGTGATTTCCTGTTTTCAAGAGGACCAGTGCTGGATTTTTTCCATTCCACTTTTTTCTCTTTACTCTACCTGTAGGCAATCTGTAAAAACTAAGCAAGAAGGAAAGCACATAGCAAACTATTGCTGGGAATATGGAATGTGCCTGGAGGAAGGGATAAGTGGACAAGATCAATACTTTTTTTTTAAAACCAAAATACTGTTGTTTTTAAAAGAAACACCAAATTTGCTTTTCAAGATACACTTAAAACCTCTAATGCTTGAAAGGATAAGTGCTTTTGGATCAGAATGCTGCCTGCAGGAACACAGCATCCGACTTCGCAGGTTTTAGGGCCTCTCCCTGCAACCAGGGACATGGCAGTGAGTGTGGGGGGAAGTTGGGCCTGAGGAAGAAGAAAGTCCTATTTAATTACTTTGCCCTGCTACTCCTGTGACGTCTGTGCAGGAAAAAAAACCCTGATGCCAAATGCTTTTGGAAGACCATATCAATGGATGCTTTCACAGCGGGTGTTATGACTAGCAGGTGGTAGAACGTTTTAATTTTGTTTGTGAAGGCTCAAATTAATTCATAAGCACGTGCATACTCCCTTACAATTTTACACAAATCTCTCTGTGTGATCAAGCCCTCAGTTATTCAGTCTTTTGATTTGTGGCACTTCAAAAAGTAGCGTTGCAAATAATCTCTCAAATAAATCTAATGTAAACTTGGTGCATGCCAAGTTCTTTGTTTTGGTTGGATGCCTGTTGCAAGGTGCTTCCTGAAAATTTTCTAAGAAATGTACGAAATTTGACTTGTAAATTTCAGCCTGATTTCAGATAAAGAAAAATCCTGCTTCCCAAAGGAGAAATAAGCATGCAGAAGGTAGGTATGGTTTTATAAGATTCTTCAAAGTATGGGAAGAATGGAAATGAGCTTCAAGTTGAACCCTTAAGGATGTGCACCTTCTTGGCAATAAAGTAGGACAATAAAGCAAAACTCTCCTTTTCTGTTTGAGGCTAAAAATTAACCCTCTGCTGGAGTTTGGTGATTGACTTGCCTTTTTTTTTTCCCCTCTACTGATTCTTTTTCTTTTATAATTATTTTTTAGGGTGAAAAGTTTGGCCCCTTTGCAGGGGAGAAGCGAATGCCGCAGGAACTGGACGAGAACACAGACTGCAGGCTCATGTGGGAAGTGAGTAAAGTGACGTCGTGGCACCTCGCACAAAGTGTTCTCAGAATTAAGTTTTTCTGTAACAAATCCTTTCTATTTTGTTTCATAGCTTAAAGATCCTGTAGTGAGATTTAGTGCTTTTAAATGACGCTGCCTGGGTGGAGGAGGGTTGACTTCTTTAAAGCTAAAGAAAAAGCAAATTATGGTTTCTAATCAATGAAGTGTGAAAAAACATCAAGTCAAGCCAAATGCAAATATAATAACGCTGTGAAAAATCATTAAAACATGTGAAAATAATTAGAAAAATTAAAATAATTTGAATTGGGAAGTGGATTGTAAGTTACAGAGATCCTGATTCATACTGATGGACAGGGACCAGCTTATGGTTTCCTTCTGCTGTAATATGAAGCGTTTCCTGGTGTGACACTGGTGTTGAGATTTGACAAACTATATACCTGAAGTTTTAAAATTTTAGCAGATTTTAATGCAATGAGTAAGTGTGAGGTCTTTAGCAAAATGGAAGCCTGGTGCTGTGGGCAACTTTTTGTTTTTTGTGCATTAGGCAGAAGCAGCAGTTTATGCACTAGTTCTTGTAATTAGGTACATAATCCATCCTAGCTCCTGTTGTACCTGTGTGTGCCTGAAGTAAAATCTGAGTTCACCAGTTGAGGAAATTACAATAGCTAAAAAGTACTGGCAATAAAAAAATTTCCAACTTGTTAAAAATGCCTTCTTTCTGGTGCCTCTGTTCTGTCTTTATAATCTTTATTTACTCCTGTGGTTCTTTGAGCGGAATTTATTTTTTCTTTTTTCCTTTTTTTCTCCTCAGCCAAGCAGTTTCTGTTTAATGCACATTGAGTCCTCTTTTACACTGAGGAGAGGATTCATTTCTGTCTTTTTTATCTTTCTGTTGTTAGAGGTGGAAGGACTGTTTACTGCATGGTACAAAAAAACCTTATGTTTGACATCTGGCTTAAAGCACTGTCAGTGCATTTACCACAAAATACATGTTTATTTGAAAAAATCTCTGGCATTAACATCACTGAGCAGCTTATGAAGTGAGCAAAGTATTGATGCAGCCTTAGCAGAGCTACAGATACATTCCATACACGAGAATGATGAGTGAGAGAATGTTAAAAGCCCATCTCTTTTTACCCAAATTCATAAATATTGTGAGTGGTGAAATATTCCTAGGTGAGTGCTAACTCCAGCCTGTGAAGCTCTGTTTTTCCTTTCCCTTTCTTTTGTCTATTTCAATCTAGGGGTGTGCCCCAAACGCGCTTTCCCAAAGAAGAGGTGTGGACAGTTTGTTCCCTTTCCCTTTTTGGGTTAGGTACTCACAGCAGCCAGTTTCATCCTCTTTGTCCCCAGCTGAAACCACAGCAATACAGTTTGCTTTTATTACAGATGTTTGCTGAGTACAGTACTTGTTAGTGTGCCCTGCCTCGCTTGGCTCTTCCTGATGTTTCTGCAGGTTGTTTTAAAATGCTTGTGCTAGAACAAGGTTTTCAGAAAAGACAGTGGGTGGATTACAGGAATGAGAAAGCCTTTAGGTTTGTTGGAAAGCTTTATGATTTTCCAGATTCCTCATTGCTCATACTTAAATAGATTTATCTGTTTCTGCACGACAGGAAAGAAAAGGCAAATACATTTATTTATTGGTGACACTAATGTGACCCCGTTGACAGCAAATCAGAAAATGAGGTTTTTATGAGCCGTTTTAAAATAATTTCACAATATCTTACTGTAACCTAGTTTTGAGAGCCTTGAAGAGATTCCTGCATACCAAATTTTATGACTTCCTGAATGTTTTAACCCAAGTTGTTCATGTTTACTGAAGTTGATCTGAACGTGAGCTTTATAATATAATTTAAATCATGCTGGGAGTAGTCTGAAGTTGAAAACTGAGACCAGGAATGCAGAAAGTAAGACTTGAACAGGCCAAGTAGATGGTTATTCCAGAGCCTGTGGGAAGCACGCACAGAAACTGGCCAAGTTTATGTGTAGTCAGCTGTACCAAAGATATTAAAAATAATTAATTTGGTGGCTATTGGTGGGAGTCACACTAAAGCCTGACTTTGCAGTCTGATGGCAGTGAAAAAATAATGTTTTCAGAGAGAACACCTTCAGAAAGAAGTCTCAAGCAGTAGAGGCTTTCTGTGAGTCAAAAAAAAGGGCATTAGTGCAACATTTCTTTCCTTGGCATGTGATGCCTGGGATCCAGGCTTCAATTTTATGGAATATTTTGCTGTGAGGAAGTTTGCCACATGCATTTCTGGTTGTGCAGAGTAGTGCTCTGTGATGTGGTCGGTTTTGATCAAGCCATTCCTTTTTCTCCAAGACCAGTGTTGTGAGTTGGCATCTTTAAGGCATCATGTTGAGACGGAATTGCACGCATTGTGTTTTCTTTTGGTCTCAGGGAAAACATGGCACCCAGAACATTTATTTGAGCCCAGTGATTTTGTTTAGGAAAATTACGAAGGTGTTAGAGTTTCTATTTAAATTAAATATAGCAGAATGCCATTACTCTGTCTGTAACGTGCATAGTTGTGAAGAAATCAAAGGTTTATAGTTGCTCATTCAACAGATTCCTGGGAAGTGGAAGATTCCAGTGGGTGGGAAGCATCCTTGATCTTGCTGTTATCTTGTAAAGTGCTACAGGCTGAAATATTTTATTTATGAGTGGTGTGAAAGGAAAAAACCCCTCAAACAAACCTGTGGTAGCCATTTAGTTAAGAGTGATAATAAAAAGCGAAGAAGAGGTCCAAATGGCTTTGTGCTTTCTCTTTCTTTTTGTTAAGAAAACACATCTGTGTTATTCCCCAGCTCTCTAAATGTGCTGGTGAAGGACACAGCTTGTTGCTGGTGATGAATTGAGAGTTTTGTTGTTACACCTTGATTAAATACTTCTTTGTGTGTGTTAGTAAACTTGGCATAGCAGTGTTGAACTGTGTGTATTTGCTGGGAGAAGCAAGTGCTTAAAGGCAAGCAGGAAATAATCTTCAGGTTAGAAGTTCACAGACGTTTTTGCTCTGGAGGCTCAGATGTGCCTTTGTGAAGAGAAGATATCAGTTCATTTATGTATGTTCAGTTCCTTTTCTTCATTATCCTTAACCAAGAGAGGGGAATTAATTTCACTCCTACTGGATTGTGGCAGGCATATTCTTCTGGTGATGACTTTGGCAAATGTTGAAACAAGGAGTGCTGGAAAGATTTGGTCCTTCTTCAAATACTCTGACATACCATGAAAAAATGTTGGTCAGGGTTGGATGGAACATAATACGCCATGTAATGCTGAATGTTGCATACTTCAGGTTGGGTTTCTGTCTATCTGCCAGGATCATGTTTTCTTCATTGTTACATTAAAACCAAAGAGATCAGAAAACAGTCTTTCAATGGAAGCCAACATTTGTGTTTATTTATATAAGAAAATGAAATGAACTTACATTTCTACTGCTTAACTTGCATCACTTTTGCTGTGACAGTTGTTTTCAGTTAAATAAGCCTGCCTGAAAACTAGTGAAAGCAACAGAAAATCTGCTATTGGCTGCAGCCAGCTTCAGATCAGAGCTGTGGTGTTTAGGATTGGGGTATAAGAAGTCAAGCACATTAAGCTTGGTATGTTTTGGTGGCTTTCTTATTTTTTGGGGTTTTTTCTTCTTTCTTTGATATCTTGCCTATAAAATGTTCTTCTGGCATAGGAAGGCTCTTACACACAAGACATTAAGTCAAATGATGTCCATTGATTCATAAATATATGAATCATTCATTTCATGATTCATGAAATAAATATTAATTAGATGAATTCTGTGTTTGCTGTTAAGGTGAATATAAAACAATAAATCTAATTCTGATCAATATAGTCTTTAATTTTTCTGTGTGTAGACTACCTTCCCAGTGATTGTTCCTCATATACATTGAAAACTGTTTGCTTTTAAATGTTTTTGGCTGAATCTTTGTTTAAATTTCAGAAATGCTTTTGTTTTTCTCATTTCTTAAATGATCTGGGCTTTTACACAAATAAGAAATTGGTGCACTATCTCAGCTGCAAGTCTATGTCCCAGAATTTAGATTTTAGTAAATTATTCTCAAATGGGATAGATAGGTGTCCAGAGCAGTTATTAATGTTGTTATAATCAGGTCTGTTAAAACTTGCTTTAGCCATCTTTTTCCATGTTAAATGTATGACTTTGTATTAATTTTAGTGACTTTTAGAGCAGGCCCATTACTGATGTTTTGGTTCTGGTGACAAGAAGGATCTACTCCTGAAAGTAGCTGAGAGTGTTAACCTCCCATCTTCAGTTATGGGATGTGTTTAAGATGCTGGAAAGCATGTGCTGCTAGGCTCAGGTGTTGGTATTCCAGTCTGAACTTACTGTAGAGGATCACACACAGTTTGCTTAGGGAGATTTGGGTATCATTCCAGGGAAAGCAAAGTTCAGCCCTGCTCCTGAAGGCTCCACAGAATGATTGCTGGAGTCTAGGAGTGAGCTGCCTGTACCCTTCTGTCCCTGGCAGGGTCAGATAATGTCATGCACCAGAAGGAGCTTCATTACCATGGAAAACTTGTGTGTTTTGGCTGAAGAAAAATGTCACATGCTGTCTCTGTCCCAGACTTATTACTGAGCAAGCAAATCAGCAGTTGCTGCCTCAGGTTTCTTTTGCTGGAGTTATTAAAATATCTCCAGCAATGTTAAAAAGTGAGTTTCTACTCTGCAGTGAGCTCTGTGATAGTCTGAACTCAGGATGCAGAAGTATTGCATCTAGCTGTTTTATGCTACTGCAATAAAGATCATATTTTCAGCTAATCCAAAAAGAAGCAATGCAGAAACCAGTACTTTTCTCTACATTATTGTTTGATGAACGTAGATATTTTGATTTAGAAATGTTTAGGAAATTGTTTCCAGAAAGCAGCTTAGGTGTTATTTAGGCCTGTGTAGGGTTTCATATGGGGAGCTTATACATTGACAAGGGACACATCTTTTCCTGAATTCTTCTGGTGCTTTTTAATGTGGTACTATTCAAATTGTCTGATTGGCTTTGAGGTGGAACCTCACTGTGGTAGCAGTCAATGTCACTTGTTTCATCTTACATTGAAGACATTTGACTGAGTCTGTTCAGTGATGCCTTTTGTGCTGATTCTGAAGAAGATAGTTCTTGGGCACCTCAGTTTGAGGTACATAATGTGGATGTGTGTATGTGTTTTAGTGTTGGTTTAAGTGCTAGGTTTGGGATCCACTGCCATCAGTTCATCCACTGCCATCAGTTCATTTAGGAACCTTCTGTTCATGGAACCAGAAGAGGACTGGTTCATGTCACCAGTCTAGTCCACACAAAGTACAGTGTTTTTGCAGTTTTTCTTAACTTCTCATGCTCACATCTGTGTATCCAATCCAGTGTTATTTCTTTATGAGGTGAAAAAACCAGTGGAAAATACAGAATGTTTTTAAGGGATTTATCGTATTCCTTTATCGATAGTTTCCTTATGTGTTAAAGCTCTGCTTCGTGTTTGGCATCTCTTTGTGGATTGGCAGAGACTCTGAAAGCATAACTGAGATCACTGTGTATCACTGAAGCAAATTTAATTGTATAATTTAAGGATCAAGCAAATAAAGAAAAATCGATGAAAAGTTAGATAGTGTAACGTATAGTTTTTATAATAGGGCCTGGATTGCTTCTCATTCCAACTCAAGATCTGATGGAAGCCTTTATAGGATCTACATGGTGGGCTCCTGTAACTTGTGCTTTGGTAGCTAAACACAAAGCCTCTGCAGAACTGGGTGATTATTACAGTATCACAGAATAGTTTGGGTTGGAAAGCACCCTAAAGACCATCCAGTTCCAGCCCCCCTGCCAGGGACAGGGATGCCACTCATTAGATCGGGTTGCCCATGGCCCCATCCCATCTGGCCTTGAACACTCCCAGGGTTGGGACATCCAGGGCCTCTCTGGGAAACCATTAGTGCTTAGTGTCAGATAATATTGTTTCCAGATGCATTTCAATGTGTAGGTTTGACACTTTTCACTGTGGTTATTCCATGTGTTGGAAAGTCAGAGCTTTTAAAGTTCGAATGCTGGCACCTTTTCATGATGTGTCCTTTTTTCTTCAGTAGAGCAGTAATGAGTTTTGAAGATCCTTATTTGTTTGCAGAACTACAGTAATTCTTTTTTTGCTTAATCTGAGAACAACGTGCTGTCACCAGCTATTATTGTAATGGAATACAGTTTTTGTCTTTTTAATGATACTCTAAATGTTTAGGTAATTGAAGCAGTCATACTGAAGAAATATGATATTGCATTCTATTAGAAACAAATATAGCAAGAATGTGAGCAATTTATATACAAAGCCACGAAGACAATCTAATTTTGATCTTACATAGCCAAATTCCCTAGCTCTTAGGAAATACCTGCCCTGGATACTTCTTGTTGACAGATGGAAAATAAAATCCATTCCTTATATAAATAAATCACATGGAATAATAATGTGGCTGTATGACCTCTTTGCATGGCTCACTGTTGTCTGGATCAGTGGAGATTCAAGTGATCTGTTGTTTAAAATGAAACAAATGGGGTTTTTTGGCAGTGACAGATGTATTTTTACAGCAGTATGTCTTTGTGTTTTGAGGGGGAAGAATGACTTAGTTAATGTTAAGTTTTTATTTCTTTTATCTTCCTTTTGTCAAAGTAAGCTGGAATTCTGTCAAAATTGCAGAAATCATACTAATTATATGGATCTGTAATGGTAGCCAAAAGGTCTAGATATGGAGATGGATGTATCTTGTGTGCCCAATTCTTTTTTTCAAGAGTGTTTTTCACTGAGTGGAGAAAACCTGAACATATTTGGATTTTTAATTTCAATTTTGCTCGGGGATTTTTTTTTGGAATGTTTCAGGTTCGTGGGAGCAAAGGCGAGGTCCTTTATATCCTGGATGCCAGCAACCCGCGCCATTCGAACTGGCTGCGCTTTGTCCATGAGGCTCCATCCCAGGAACAGAAGAACCTGGCAGCCATCCAGGTAGATTTGGGGGATTCCTACCATTTGCTTCCTGTTACTGATTTACTAATTTGATTTCCTCTTTGGCCTTCATGTCTTGTAATGAAATTGCAAGATCTGAGGAAAGCAGAGAACTGCTTTTCTTTTTCTTCCCTTCTTTTTAGAACTCTTCTGTTTAAGGTAATACCACAAATAAGAGTGATAGGATGAAAGACCAGAAAAGTCCTTGGAATTTGGTGCTATTTGGAAGGTTTAAGGACTAATTATTTAGAGACCTGTGTGTGTTTCCTGCCAAACTTGGATATGGGCTTACTTGTCTGTCAAGCAGAATAATGCATTTTACATTATTGTTCAATAAAATGAGTAATATCATATAATATAGATAACATATTATATAATTAATTATGAAAGTGTGACAGGCTTGAAAGGAGGCACAGTGCTGAAAATATTTAAGTAGAAAACAGAAAATTGAACAATCTAATTATCTGATAGGATGATCATATAGTGCCTGAGGATTAATTATTAAAAAAAGATAATTTTTTTGTCTTTGCTGTTGATCTGGATTTATCCAGCTTATTTTTTCATTTTTATAGTTGTCATTTGCAGCACTCTGTGGTAATGAGTTCCACTGCTTTAATCATGGTGAAATATGCTTCTGGTTTTCTTCTAGATACTCCTTAATTTCACTTGATTTCCCAGTTTTGGTATAACAGTGAATAGTTGCTTTATTTTTCTGTGCCATCTTTGATTTTTTGGAATTCTGTTATGTCCTTTCACTTATATTCGACAGCTCTTCGCTCAAGCTGAAGGGTCTTATTCTGTTTAATTGCTCATTTTTGGAAGTGTTCTGTGACTTTACAGGATACAACAGAGACAGGGATACCTTTCCAGTTCCAGCTGTTGTTCTTTTGGAGATTATTAAAGAAATTAGCTATCTGCTTTTCTTTTTTAACAGCTCAGTTTCACAGTAAATCAATTTCCACTCCCACATAAATAAGAATTACATGACTCTGTGAATTTTTTTCTCAAAATGTATACTTGACAAAATGTTGTTTCAGGCTAACTTAAGGTATTTGCTGATGTAATCCAAACTGGTAAACAATCAGGAAAAGGAGAATTATTTATCAGCATTTCTTAAAATGACTGTTCTGCTTTTTCATCATGAGATTACTTTCTTCCCCAAGGATTAGCCTGTGTGTCCCTGGCAAAAGAATTATAGTTTATTTTAAGGCCAGACAAAAAAAAATTGTTTTTTCTGTGCCAGGAAAACAGAAGTTCGTTTCTGATGAAATTTGTTGTCCTCCTTATGGTAGCAGATGTGAACAGCTCTCATGCAGGAGGTGTGATTAGCACCTCATCAGTGCATAGTCATTGTTAGCAAAGGCAAAGTAAGGCTCACAAGAGAGAGCAGTGGGAACAATTAATGTTCATGATTATCTTTCCAGTAAATGATCTGAACTTCTGAATAGAAGTTTTAATGGAATATCCAGTGCATGCCAGTGGGTTTCTTTATAAAGAAAATGATAGAAATTAATAAAAATTTGCTAAATTATCTCACAGGGTTTTTTAGGACCTTAAAGCCTATCCTAATCCACAATATTCAGATGGAAAAATATTCTAGCCTTCATTGGGAGCTATTACTGAAAACTGGAGCATGGAGAAATGCCAGAATTGCTGTAGTAGTTTAGCCTTGTGTTCTGTTCAGTGTCACATTTGTGTCTCGGAGGTTTTCTGCCTTGCCATGCAATATAACACCATAGGAATAGATCAGGAGAGGGAGCTGAGGTTTCTGGATCTTTTGTGTGTGTGTGGTTGGTTGAGGTGCTGTATTTTAGATCAGGTATAATCTGAATTCTGGGCTCTGTGTGGGGGTGTGTGAAATCATCTTCACACATTTCCTGGATTGCAGGTTCTGCCCTCAGACATTGCCTGTGTTGGTTTTACCTCTGCCAAACTTGACATCCTGGAGCTGCAGGGAAAGACTGGGAAAGGCAGTGTGCCCGTTTGGAGAGGTAGCCAGGGAGAACTGGCAGAGCAGGTAGGCTGAAGAGGTGGTTTGCTGCCAGGGAATCAGATACAGAGGGAAATCAGGTAACACTCTGTGGGCACAGAGGCCAAGGGGGTAAGGATTAGGAAGGCTGGGTTGGAGCCAGCTGTTCAGAATCTGAAGGGTGGAAAAGCCCTACACTCCCTCAGGTAACACAAGACTATGCTGCTTCCTCCTCCTGTGTTTTACACTTTCAGGAGTGATGAGATAAGTGTTTTATGCTTTTGGATTAAAGTGTGATGGGCTGTCAGTGGTCCTGTGTTTGCTCTTACAAAGCAGATATGAAGGTGTGTAACTGTATGGAAAAGCCAAGAGGCTGCATGGAAGAGGTACCTGTAGTGGACCAAAAAGGAGATAGCAAGGGCTGTTGGAACTGGAAAACTGTATTTGCTGAGCAGGTCTGTGTGGCTTACAGTATAAAAGATGACAGTAAAGGCAGAGGTGAGAAAAACAGAATTGAACAATAAACCAGGAATAACATGAAGGGAGGTTGTGTTGCCATCATGATGAGCAAGCACTTGGAGTTTTCTCCCAAGGACCATTGTGGTTTGCTGCAGATGAGTGTTAGGAAAACCGGCATGGTCTAAGCATGCCGGCATGGTCTAAGCATGCTGGCATGGTCTAAGCACATGGGCAGGTGGAATGGCTGCAGATGTGTTCTTAGAAATAGCAGGGGTTATTAAAATAATTTAAAAGGCTGTTCACTGTGTCTGCATGCACGTAGATTAATGTGATTCATACAGGTGCTGCTGGTGGGGGGAGAGAAATGTAAATTCTTTTGTGGTTTCTGGAGAGCTTCCATTGCTTTCACTCAAAATGCTGCCTTGAGGAGCTGCTACAGTGGTGGGTGTATCTTGATTAATTAGTGCTCTGAATACCTGTCTGTTAGCATTTGTGTGGATGGAAAAGCCAAACAAATTAACCTTGGAGGAGAAATGAGTTTAGATTGGGCTGGCACCAAAGCTAATTTCTTTCTAATGCAAATGTAACCCAGAGCACTCAAACATTGACAGATCCTAGTACTTGGGGCTTTATTTTTGCTTGGGATACATTACTTTTTATTTTTTTTCTTTTTATTTCCAAATTTTCAAAATCTTAAATAATTTAATTTTTTTTTCCATTATTATTTTTAGTAATCTTGTAATAGAGAAGTGCTTCCCTTCATTAGGTTGTCTTGCTTTTAGAATAAGGTTGCCCTAAACAGTGATGTTTTAGAGATTTACCCAATGGTTTTATCCTGTGTGGAGACTGAGTGTAGAAAGACCTACTTTTCCTTGTGTCAAGAGGATTTGTTTTGACTTTAGACTATACTAAATTGAAGGTTTCTGCAACTTGACAGGGCCTTATGAAACCCAGTAACTTGTAGATGTGTACAGAGGCTAGGTTGGTGTGCTGATAGATATCTGGACTGCAGAATAGATCTTGAGGGAAAAAAAAATCATAATTTTTTGTTTTCCAATGCTGCTGTTGAGATAAGGACAGAAAAGTGGTGCATCCTTCAAAGCAGCAGCTCTATCCAGTCTACTGAATTAAGTAGTTTTCAGTCCTGTGTGACAGTATCTTGTGTAAAATATAACAGACCTTCTGCAACTCAGGGAATGCTACATCCCTGTTGACAGTTCAAATTAATCTTAGTGTATTACAAGAATTAAAAATCATTATCTTGTCCTTGCTCAAGGAAGCTTGTTACAAAATGTATGGCTAGATGCAGGGCAAAGAAGCTTCAGTTCACTTTTCTGGGTGTTATTCAGATAAGCTTTAAGATTTATGATAGAACTGGGAGTCTTGCATAGAAATGAGTCTCCTTCAGTGCTTTGGGCAGTACCTAAAGCAGTTGGTTCACATACAGAAAGAAAAAAGATATCTCTGTCTTACGGAATATCAGTTTAGGGGACAGATGTACAGATTCCTCCCCACACCCCATAGTGCTAGCCTTGGTAACTTTAATTAAGTATTCTCAAAGTTCAAAGTTGTTGGCTTACCTAGCTATTTGGAAGCTTGTCCAGGCATTATCAAGAAGCTTTTGGAGATTATCGTTATGTAGTTCGTGCTGTCGTGCAGAATGGGGGCTGGACCCTTTGGCCTATTGTGGATCCAGACTGATTTAAACCAGCACAGGGTTTAAAGTGCATTTTCCAGATGTGCCTGCTAATTTGGTAGTGAAGATAACTGACAGGGATGAAAGCCCTGGTTGGAGAAGGCTGGGAATCTTAAGGAGAGAAAGAGAAAATAACACTATGTAAACATGCTGCTGAAAGCTATGTTAGAATTCCTGCAGTCAGTTGGGGAGAGAGATAAAGCTGTGTTGGTTATCTAAATTTTACTATTTTTCTAACACTGAAATATTTCATTTTCAATCCCTGAAGTTCTTGTCAAGTAGAGTGTGGCAGGAGAGGACTTTAATGCCATCTCCACCTTGGTCTAAGCTACAGGGAATAGTGGAAAAGCCTCACAGGTGAGGCAGGGGAATATTCCCAAAATAGCAGAATACAAATGCACCTATGCATGCAGCCACACTGGGAAAGAAGTCTTCAGCAAGGCTGTTGTAGCATTGTGCTTCCTGAGGAGTGACACCAACCCTTCCATGGTTGAGGGATAATATTAGTTTAAGGTCTCATACTTGTCTAGATTTTTGTTTTTCTGACATAATTATTTATTGCTTCTACTTGCTGTTTGCAACAGGAGGGAGAAAATATTTTCTATCTGGCTGTGGAAGATATTGAAACAGACACAGAACTTCTCATTGGGTACTTGGACAGTGACATGGAAGAAGAGGAGGAGGAGGAGGAAGAAGTAACTGTTATCCAGGAAGATGAAGACAGTGGCAGCAATAAAGAAGTTCAACCAGCTGGTGACAAAGTTGCAGGTGAGCAATATGTAAAATATAGGGTTAACTTAGAGCTTAAAAGTGGTGATAAAGAAAGAGAATACTAACAGTGTAGGACTGGGGAACTAGAAGGTCCCTGGGGTTGAACCTGAATTCTTGCATTATTTTAATCTCTTTTTTTAGGTTGGAGTTGAGCTTCTTTGCCTTATAAGGAGCAGTAAGTCTTGTGAATTACTGAGTGAATGAGGGAGCCTTAAACAGTAACCATTAATTTTTGAACTAAAGACAGTTTGTTTCACCTGACACACAAGCTTATGAATGCTGAGCTTTTGCTCTAAGAGGGGTAATTTCTTTCTTACTTGGGTGGGAGAGAAATAAACCTTCCATAGAGCTATTCAGCCAATCCTAAGGTGTGTAGGAAAGGAAAGGTGAGCTGAGCTGTCTGGGGAATTCTCAGCATCTTTATCAAAGATGAAGATGAATTAATGAATGACTAATTGTATTGAGGTTCTTATTGAGTTGAATTACTAATTTGGACCAACAGTCTAAGTCACACCTATCTTAACACTTTCCATGTTGATGGTAATCCACTTAAGATAGGCTGTCTATAATCCCTTCAGAGACATTGTTTTTTGTGAGTTTCATGCCACCATTTTGCATAATCTGTTTCTGGCAGAGAGTCTCTCTTAATGTAACCTGGGACCTACTCCTTTACATTGGTTTTGCTTCCAATCATGCAGATCCTCTCACCTGTAAACAGGACCATGCATGCCCAAACTGTGAATCCAGTTTTGCCAGCCAGGAGATCCTAGCTGAGCATCTGCAGACTTTGCACCAAAAACCCAGTGAGGAAAAGGAATTTAAGTGCCGAAATTGTGGAAAGAAATTCCCTGTTAAACAAGCTCTGCAAAGACAGTGAGTAGAAACAGGAGTGTTTTTCAGGGATCACTTAAATCAATTTTAATTCAATCTTTGTTTCTCTTGACCTAATCACAAGCTAAGCTTTAATTTTTATGCATCTGTATTTATACCCTTACCCTTTGCTTTAATCTTTTGATGTCTTCATTTCTCGTATTTGTTGTAGAATTCAATGGGAATTGGAAAAATATTGACAGTTTTTATGTATTAAAATCATACACTGGAAACCAGACCAGAGCAGCAGTTGGGTGCAGCATTACTGGTCTCCATCAGTGGAATATTTAGTAGTTTAGGAGGTGTAATTTTCAAGCTGTCAATGCTGGTACAGAATTAAAGTAAGATTTAAGGGGAAAAAAAAAAAAACAAAGAAAACCAATGCTTCATCTTCCCTTCATTAAATATTTGGGTGATGGAAAAACAAAATAGAAACATGAAAGATGTGAGTTTTAAGAACATGTCTTTATTGTCCTTGAGAGTATAAATATGCAGTTTTATCACTAAAGTCTTTATCTTAGAATTATGCTTCTGCACAGAAACATAGCTGGTTTTCTTCTGTTGTTTATATATGCATTTTCTTACAATTAGATAGATATATTACTTCTTATTATACATTTAATTACAGATTGTTAACCTACTTTTTGTAAAGGTGTATATAGTTGATGATTACTGCAAGCGTGTATGAGTTGTAGAATGTTGCCCTTACATCCTTTTTTTCCTTTTTTTTTGTCTCTTAGTGTACTTCAGTGCACAGAGAATATCAGCCCAGGAGACTCCTCAAGAAGTTTCCAGTGCTCTGTTTGCAATACTGCCTTCAGCTCGGAATCGAGGTTTTGTGTCCGAGTTACAGGACTGCTGTCATGTCCTCGCTGGCCTCCCTTTGCATGTTCGCTTTCCAAAAGCTTGGTAGTGTTTGGGAATCCTAACAGGGCAAGGACTCAAATGCTTTCATTCCTCTCTGCTGTAAGTAATGCATGAGGTGGCCTTGGAACTCTGCAGTGCAGCATGTGTTCAGCTCTGAGTACTTGCTACAGCTCTGGTTTCTGGAGACACTGCCTGATGTGTTTGTTTTGTTTTTTTGTCTCTCTTTGTTATCCCATGTAGTTATGAGCAGCATAAGGAGGCATGCAGAGGGGATGCCAGGTTCATATGCAAGGCAGATAGCTGTGGGAAGAGGTTCAAGAGCAAGGATGCTCTGAAAAAACACAAAGAAAATGTTCACAGTGGTAAGAGTTTGATGTTCCTTCAGAAAAAATCCCCTGTGACATGTTCCTAGCCTTAAATTTGCAAATCAGAGTAAACATTATCATTGGTTTATTTTTTAATGGCTCCATTTGTCTCAAATAGAAAATTAAGAAGTAAGATAATTGCAAGAGTTACTATTCCTCCTCCTCTCCTGAAGAAGTTACTGTAGGCCATATGAATCATTAGTCTCCTGCAGAAAATGTAATAGGAATCTTGAGAAGTTCAAACTAGGCAAAAAGTAGATGAAATGAAGTATTTCAGGAGTGAGGAAAATCAACCACTGGCACAAACTGTTACAGGAAATTGTGAGTTCTTGATTTTTTTTGTATTTTCAGGACACAATGGGATGTCTTTTCTTTGCCTAATCAAACCGTTAAGCTTGATCAGGGTTGCATCTGTTGTGCAGGAAGCCAGATGAGACCATCCACTGCTTCTCTTAGGCCCTAGTGTTTTCATATCTGTGTGCTGTGAGTAGTTTTCACTCAAACTTCACTCTCTTCTCATGAAAGGGCAAAACACTACTCTCAGGTCCACAACACAGGTCCCAGTTCTGGCATTCTGCACTCTCTCTGTGTGCCCCCTCTCCGTGTCAAAGGAATTCCATTATGTGTGGGGAGAGCAGAATTCCAGAGTGCACAGAAAACAGTCTTCAGTTGATGGTGGCAGCACTAAGATGCTTTTTTCAGTCTCTTTCTGCTTCCAAACTCTTGCAGTGTAGAGAAAATTTTCTGTAATCATTCTTACAAAAATTATGCCTTTTTTTTTGGTATCAGTAATAATTTTTTTCATCTATGAGCACTGTTATGTTTAGGTTTAGTTTTTGTCAGTTGTGTAGTGGTATATGAATTCCACATTGAAGGACTAAGTGTATTCCTGCATTATGTGTCTATTTTTGTGTATAAATACTTGTCATAGGTTTTATAAATTTTTACTTTTATAATGTTTCTTTTGTTCAGTGTAGTATGCATGTGTTTTACCTAAGCTAGGAACTATCTTGCATGGGCATCTTAAATTATAAACAAATAATTAGGTTTATGGTGGCTTTGTGGGGTACTAAAAGAATCTCTAAAGGTAAGTAATAGATAAACTCAAGTGTTCTGTGACTTTTTAAAGCAGCTGTGATAAAGGAAGGAAAATGTCTGGTAGCTGACCTGTACCTTGTTTTATAATTTGCATTTTAGACAAGATTTGAATTAATGATCTGATGCTAATATTATTTCCCTGTTTTGTTTATTTAAAGACTATTAATGATATTTTATATAGTAGGATGCTTAATAATTTCTAAATGAACAAAAATAGGAAATGGTTTGACTTAAGTTTGAGATTTTTATTTTGTCACTGCTGCACCAACTCCTGTATTGATTTCTGGATGAAATGAACTGTTCAGTTGCCAAGTGAGCTGTTCTCAGTTGCGAGCTGTGCTCTTCATGTGGGATTGGTGGTGTATGATAACATCTATTTGAAAGGTTTTTTTTCTTTATTGTTCTGGTTTTCTTAATTTACATTCCACCAGTGACTAGTTTGTTGGACACCCACAGAGAACTCCTGATACGAAACACTTTGAAGATGGAATACAAATGTAAAAATCTTATGTCAGTCAAATGACCTGTGAAATGTCACAGGCTCAGTGGAAATATTTAGGTTCTTTCTTAGCACTTCCTCTTTAAGATGTTGGTGGTATTTTGTTTCTGTTTCAGGAAATTCTAGGAAGAAGCTGATGTGTTCAGTGTGCAATAAGAAATGTTCCTCAGCAGCAAATCTCCAGGAGCATCGAAAGGTCAGTGAGATGAAGGCTGACTCACAGCAGGCAGTGACTTCCCTGAGAAGTGAGGCTGTGCTGCTCACGTCACTTGAAAGCTGCTATGCAAGCCTTTGGGTGATCTCTTTCATGATTACAAAGCCAACCTGGTTTAGTGTGGGTATTTACTTATGTAGTCACGTACTCAAGCCAAGTATCTCCCTAAAGTTTTCATGTATCTCTTCCCAAATGCTAATATGTTACTCCAGCATTAAGTCAGAATTGCCTGCTGTTCTTCAGTGTTCTTAAACACTGTGTTGTGTAACCATGGCATACATACAGACCATAAAATAGGTTCATGAGCCTTCAGTTTTTCTACAAAACACAGTAATTTTCTTACTGATTTTTGAAATACCACTTAGGGGAGTTACTTCTGTTGTAGTTATGCAGTATTAAAAAAAAATCTTCCTCAAACCCAAATTTTAATGTCTTTTTTTTTATGCACATAATCTTTTATAACCAGAACAAGAGGGGTTAACAGTTGAAAAACATCTATTTGAAATAAGGGTGTTCATGTAGAAATACAGATGGACCATGAATATGAGATTCTGAATCCATTATACGCAGAGGAAGTCCCTGCAAGATTAATTTGATAAATCACTAAAACCCAGGAGAATCTGTTTTTGCAAAAAGCTGCATTGTACTGTTTATCAGATTAACTGTAAGTCTTTAATAATACCCTGGTTATAACCTGAATCCATTGAGGATATAAATGATATCAATTAAAATATGTTGTTGCAAAGGAAGTGGTGGGGCCCCTCCTTTTAAATTTGTTTTTCTCCGTGCTTGTGTTAGTATGCCCTGCACTTGTTGTGTAATAGGGCTATATTTTCTTATAGTGGTGTACCTTGCCATATGTTATTAAAGTTTTACACATTGGCACAGGTCTTGCACATCAGGCCTTTAAAATGCAAAATACTCTGGTTAGAGTGTCCATTTTATTAAATGTTTGTTCTGTTTCAGTAGTTGTAATTCTGGGTAGACATTGTGACACACAGGTTTCTCAAATATGATTGATGTTATCAGCTGACCTTAAGAATCACCATGAAGATTTTGTGCATAAAACTGTCTTTGCTTTTGATTAGCTTTTCTTTTAAAACATGCAGAAAATGGGTATTTCAGACCTTCACAACTGTATCAGATAGTGAAGGAGATTGCACATAGTAGTACTAACACTGTTTGTTTGCTTGAATTAATTTCCTTTTGTAGGAAGTCGGGCAGGATCATCAGCATTGGCAAAAACATTTGTACAGGCCATAAAACCAGTATGAGAACAGTATGAAAATAATAGGTAAAACCAGGAGAAAAAGACAGATTTCAATGTAAAGAAATAAAAGGGGAGAATAAAAAGGTGAAATATAACAGAAAACAAGCCCAAACAACAGAAAAATCTGACAGAGGAAGGAGGTAAAAGAGGGTGGCTGTAGGGGCTTGATATGTGTTTACTTTCTGAAGACATGGTCATTCACATCTGTAGCTTTCATGTCAAATTTAAACTCATTTTTAGTTTCATGTGTCTTGTGCACTGCTTGTGCCTTAACTGTCTAACAGTATTCTGATACTGAGTTCTGAAGTTTGAGTAAAGTGCCAAGTTCAATCACTCAACAGTGATAACAAAGAGGAGGAAAGTGAGGGGACTGTTAATCTTCACTGGTGCATATTCCTCCTAAATGACTCCTTTCAGTATAAGGATCTCATGTTTTGGATTTGAATTGTTTACAGGAAGTCAGATTTCAAAGTGAGCAGGTACTTGTGAGTAGCACGGTCTGCTAGGCCTCCCCAGTGATGCTCTACTGTTCTGTAATGGAAAGGGAAGATACATTCCTACAAATCCCAGGGTTGCTGGCTTCTTTTCCCAGTCAGAGTTGATAGTGCTGCACTTCCAGTGTTTGTAAGTGGACCAGGGGAGTCTCCCTCTTCATGGCTGAGCTTCTGACTCTTACTGTAAGCACATGTGTTCATGGTAACGCAGCTCATTCTTCTTTTAAGAAAGATGATGAAGGATACCTTGAAGTGTAGGGCAGTCAGGCTTTTTTGGATTTGGAATTGCAGGTTTTGTGTGTTACTGGTAAGACTGGTTTGTACTGGTGCTTTTCTGGATTTCTGAGCAGATTTCTTACATGGACCTGTACAGTTCCATTCAGCGGTAGTGCTGTCTGCCGAGGGACCAAACCAAGGTAGATCCTGTAGGCACACAGTTTGTGGTGATTGGGAATAGGGCTGCAGCCGAGCCTCATCCCCAGTGGGCACAGCTGTGAGCAGCAGGTGAGCAGCACTGACAGCAATAAGCCAGGGAGGGGCCAGGGGACTGACCAACCACCAAAGGGACAGAGGGCACACAGGGGCAGGGCATCAACATCAGGGGATAAAAGGCCGGGCTGAAGAACAGTAAAGTGCTGGTGTTTGAAGCCTTCTTTGCTGTCAGTTGTGCCTCCACCATCAAGATCCTACTTTGGTCAGAGTTTGTGAGTGTGTATGAAGAGCCCTTGAGTCTCTGAACTTCTAAAACTTTGTAGAGCTGGACTTCCTGCAAAATTCGTGTGAGTAGAGTCACACTTAAAAATCTGCTCTGCTTCCCAACCCCTCACCACCTTTTTTTTTGCCTGCCAGTTGCAAGCATCTCATTTGGGTTAATTTCTGACCTTTTTGTTTAACACTGAAAATTGTTTTGATCTACTGGGCAGCCATTATTTTTATTTACTAGAAATTGCTCTCAACTGCCTCCTGTTTTTCCAGCATTTAGTCCTAAATGCTGTAATGTGCTGTGATGTTGAAAATACTGCATTTATAGTTTGAGACAATGCTGCCTTTCCACTGTCTGGCCTCTAAAAGCTTTTAAGAGAAACAGTCCTGCAAGAGTGTGATAGTACTTGTTTTTTAAAATTCTGACAGAAGCTATGAAGCTATGTTATTTTTACATGTGTCTTGGCTAGAAGAAAATGTCCTGACAAGTTAGTCTGCATTTGGTTTTTTTAATGTTTTCTTAATAATGATATTTTAAATGGATATGGTAGATAGAAATACAGGTTATACAAACTGACAGTATAGTTGTAATGATCTTTTTTTGTTGGCAGTTAAGAATTTTTACTTTTTGGGAGATGTTTTTCAGCAAGGGGACAAGCAAGGGTGAAATCACAGAATATTCTTCAGTCTTAGTATAGCTACTGGCTAATAAGTAGCTACATTCTATTAGAGAATTTTTGTCTGTGTAAGAGGTATGGTCTTGTTTTAGACACACATTTAATTGTCATAAAACATTTTGCAGGTCCATGAGGTCTTTGAGTGTCAAGACTGTGACAAGAAGTTCATTTCGGCGAACCAGCTGAAGCGCCATATGATAACTCATTCAGGTAATGCGCACAAACGACACAGAGCTCTGTGTGTGTGGATATGTATTCTGTGTGTGTGGAGTTTTACCTGAGTTAGTTTCTTATGCAAGGCTTAATGAAATGTGTGTTGTCTGAGTCGAGCAAGCCAATCTCAGGTTCCAGGGAAACTGAGTTAGCTTTTCCAAGCCTTCCAAATTTCTGAGTGAAGTGGTGTAGTCTTCTTCCTACTGCTACTTTGTGTAAAGATGTTATGCCCTGCTGGCTGGAGTAGATGAGGTCAGCGGGTTGGGGTGGGCCAAAAGGCTGCTATGTGGCTTAGAGAGGAGGTGAAAAACCAGTGCCTGAGGTTTTCTGCTGAGAAGAGGCTGGGAGCTGGGTGTGCTGTCAGTGATCTGTGCTACATACTGTGTTTTCTTGTTTATCTGTGTAGTTTATCTGTGCTAGTGGGCTCACAGATTCAGGTCAGAGCAGAGCAGCTCACGGGCCACACCATCCGCAGACCACTCACAAAGATTCCCTTGTGCCAGCATGAATCCGCTGTGAGCAGGGAGTGTCCCATCTTTGGGTTTGGCAGTGTGGCACTGGGTGGCTCTGCCAGGATTTCTGTTCACTGCAAATCCAGCATTTTCTGTGTCCCTCACCAGTGATTAGGAACATCAAGCAACACAATGGAAACACAAACATTGTTCTATCAAATGCATTAGCATTTAAACAAATGCAGATTTTTACAGCTGCACAGGCTTAGAGTTGAACTGTTTTCTTGGTATCAGTCCACAAGAAAAGCTTATTTCTTGTAACATAATCTGTATCTCAGAGGCTCCTGGCTTTCTTTTGACACTTTTGGATGAGCATTAGTGCAGTTAAATTGCAGTCACCAGTTGAAGCATAAAGGCTTTTTGCATAGGAACTTTTGGGTTTGGAAGCTAATATGTATATTGTTAATTAAGTTTTAAAACATTTAAACTGTCATGGCCTCTTTCACATTTGTAATCTGGAAACACAGTTTTCCTCTTTGAAGTCATTCTCTTTTGATTTAAGCTAATTAATCAGAGTTTAGTTTTAGCAATGAGTATTGCAAAGAATGTGCCAATTTCTTGAGATACACCATGGCTCATCTTTTGTGAAGTGACTTAACTGTCTAACATAAAGGGCATTAGGTGTCTTTCTAATTGGTTTAATCTTAATTGGGTTGACTTAATTGCAGAAATCTCTCTGGGGAGATGACTGTCTTTGGCTTTCATCTTCTCCCCCTGTATAAACAGGAGATTAAATGTCCCCCACTCATTTTCTGCAGAAAAACGCCCCTACACCTGCGAGGTTTGCAATAAGTCCTTCAAACGACTTGATCAAGTGACTGCACACAAAATAATACACAGTGAAGATAAACCTTATAAATGCAAGCTTTGTGGAAAGGGATTTGCCCACAGAAATGTTTACAAGAATCACAAGAAGGTAAAGCACTCTGCTGTTGTTGTTTACAGGTCTGCCAGCCTCAGATTTGCAGATTTTTTTTCTTTTAAGTAGTTCATCGTTAAGCTCTGCCATGCTTATAAACATGGGATTAAAGTATTGGAGAATGTAGTTTTAGTGTTCTTTGTTATATCCAAAATTTCAAAAGGCTGAACCAATTCTAGTAAACAAAAAAAGTTAAATAAAGAGAAGTAAAGCACAGTTGCTTGGTAAAGCATCAAATAAATCCCATTTTGACTTTTTGTTTTGTTTTAGTTTTTTTGCTTTGCTTTGGTTGTGGTTTTTTTTGAAGTACTAGGTTATCATGATTTAAAGATGTTTTCAAATACTTTTTCTTAATAGTGTAATTGCATAAAACTGTGTAGTACTCTTGCAGTCATTGTTGGACTTAGCAGCAGATGCTTTCAAACTACACTAAATTTGAACTTGGTGCAGTGTTCACATATTAAAACAATATCAGAAGAAACGTTACCTGAAAAATAGACTCACAAAGGAATGTTCTGTGCCTCTGTTGAAGCTCAAATCTGCTTGGCCTAATTTCTGTAATGCCTGTCATTAGTTTTAACCTGGGCTTACATTTCTAATGGCAAGGCTCTATCCAGGACTGCTGAAAAAGACTGAAAAAAAAAAAAAAAAAGGAAAAAAACCCAACCCTGATATAGCCATACCTCCAAGTGTTTCGCCGTGTGGCTCACGTTATATTCCATCTGGGAATTTGGCACAGGATCTTTGCACCATCTCTTGCACTTGCAGCCATAAATCATGTAAGAGCAGTAATAATGCCTCTCACAGGATGAAATGGTGATGACTGTCTAAAACAAGAAAGCATGCAGCAGCCTGCTGAAGGACAAGATTATCTCCCATATGTTATATTTTATGGTCTAGACTTTAAGAAAATAGGACAGAACCTTGCAGATTGGATATATTCTAAGACAAATGTATAAAATATTAGAAAGATAGCTCTGTGTTTTAAATGAATCCTGCTTACATGTTTCCTGATGTTAGCTAACTATTGATGACTGGTAAGGAGTTTGGGTTGAAAATGGACTTCAGGATTAAGTATGAAGGAGTAAACACTTTGACCCAATTCTGTGTTTAAAGCAGCAGTACCACCAGCATAAACAAGGATTAGAGGTTCCACTTAATAGGAAAAATATTAAAATTTAGACAGCTTTAGTGGGTACCAAATTTTGACAAATTCCTTAAAGCATTTTGGAATGCTGGTTTCCTGGACCTGTTTGCACCTAGTACTGGCTGTAAATCAACACTGCTCAATATTGAGAGAAACTTGTTCCTGTGTTTGCATAAAGATTACCCAAACAGCTGTGACTGTTCACCCATCCACATGTAGGTCTCTGAATTCACTTGCTGAGTGAGGAGGCGAACAGGAGAGACAGGAGACTGGCATAGGAGACTGGCATGGATGGCCTGAGTTGCTTTTTCAGACACACCTCTCTCCTGACACACTGAGGAAACAACAGGAGGAGAGGTGGCAAGCAGCCGAGGGGAGTCTGGATGTGTGTGCACAAAAGCCAGTTGTACCACACAACTCAGGATGTGGTGGTTTGGGAGGCCAAAATAGTTTTGAGTGCCATGATTTTGGGAAGGCTATGCCTAGGGAAAGAGGACGGTGGTTCTCCTGCTTGTTCACATGAATGCGGATCCAGGAACAGTGTAAATGTAAAACTTTATTGTGTATTCTACTTCTATGTATTTCTTCAGCTTAGATTTTTAAATGATTTTTAGATGTATGTTTCCTGTAAGATGTCTTCCTAGGTTTATTTTCTTTTGGAGGAAGATAATTGAACTCTAAGTAATTTCAGGGTCCTTTTCTGAGTTTCAGGATTAGGTTACTGGGCTAGTAGCAGGGAGCATAGATACCTGCAGTAGGAATGAGTGGTATAGGAGTTAAAACCACTTAAATCAAGAGCATTGAACAGAAAACATACCTTTAAATTTGATAGCAACATGCTTAAAAAACCTTTGGATTTTACAGCAGGCTTACAGCCTTTTTATGTGTAAGAGAGTACAGATACATTTTGTGCCTTTGAATTCTTGATTTGTGTTTTAGATGGAAACTTTTTGCTTTTGTTTCTGTAATTCCTGTGTGGGGTTTTTTTAACCTGATTTCATGCTGGAAGTCTCAGAATAAAAATGGCTCCCACAGCATGTGTTTTTAAACATCTTTCAGATGTGGGTGTCTGTTGGGTCATTTCAAAAGTGCAGAAGGAGATTAGTTCCTCACATTTCCCTGGGAGATGGAGTGGAGTTGCCAAGAGTCTATCTGCTCTGTTCAGTGGAGCACTGGGAGGTGAACCTTAACTTAGCACTTGTTATTCTCTTAGAGCTGCATAACTGAGGCAGGAACTGTGGTTCCTCTGTGATCTGTTGCTCCTGCAAACAGGGGCTGCACTGCTCTTCATAGGTGCATTTGCAAGCTGGCTTTGCCACTTGCTTGGAGATGTCAAGGCTGGGAAGTGTTCTGGGATGTGGAAACAGCTCAGATACCCTCTGAGAGCTCAGGCTGTGACTTGAATGATCTTAAATGATGTGACTTAAATACAGTTCCATTTCTGTGACAAGGCAAGAGAGCTGTATCTGAAATGAGGAGGCAAGAAGGGATTGTGCTACAGACAAAAGTAGTCACCTTTCACGCAGGTTAGACTGGATGAGGGTGCATGTTCTGAGCCATATGATGCAGATTACCTCCATACAGGAGATGTTTTTGCTCCATCTGCTCCTTTGTTGCTACGTACAGAGGATGAGTTCAGGGAACAAAATATGAGGACATGGCAGTCGGCAGAAATAGGTCATCAGACGCAGGATTTTAAAGGGTTTATGGCTAATCCAGGCTTGTTTGGTCCTGGGGAGCATAATGATTTGAAACAACTGTATTCCATCAGTTTATCTGTTGGGAATAGGTAGCCTTGGGCTGGGCTTAAGCCTCCACAGATGCTGTGGAAAAAAAAGGCTGCCATGAAATGCTGCATAGGAGCCCATCCTTACTTTCTGGGATGATCTGTGTACCTTTGCATATGGGTATGCCTAGTTAGGTGATTTTCTTTGTAGGGAAGTTAAGATGTGCAGATGAATCTGTGTATTTTGATGAAAAGGTGAGGAGAGTATAAAGGAGATGCTAAGCAGAAGTTCTATACAAATCACTGTGCTCTTCAGAACTGTCACTCACGTGGTGAGTGCTCCAAACCTGGGCATTTTTTAAATAAGCAGCATGACTTTTGCGCTCGTGAAAGGTGCCAGATTGACAGCTCTGGAGACTGAACCCTTCTATTTATCCACAGAACAGGTACAGCACAGGCAGCAGCACTGCGAGCTTCCCCACAGTGTCTCGTCCATGTGTCCCAAGCCTGTTCTGGAGGAACCCCCTGTTGAGGTGAGAAGGCAGTTCAGTCTCTTCATGTCCTGTCAATCCTTGGCCTCACTGCTGAGGGGCTGAGCCAGGGTGTCAGCTAATGCCAGCTGTGGTGGGAACCTGCAGAGTCTGGGCTGCAACATGCAGCAGATTTCAAGGAACATGAGCTATATTCCACACCTGTGATGGTCTTCCAGCAGCCTTTTTGCTTTCAGTGACTTAGGCTGGGGTCAAGGAATTGATTTTGAGCCCAAGTCCTCCTTATACACTGCAGGACGTTCAGGTGTATATATGAGAGGCCATTGGTGTTAAAATCAAACTGGGTTCAAGGCCCTCAGCCAACCTCTCATGAATTTTGCTGTCTCCCCACAGCCCCCTTTTTTCCCCCCAGCTGAAGGGGTGGAATAACAGTTGTGTGGATTCTGGATAGCAGAAATAGATTATATAAATATGTTCCATGCTAATATTTGTCCTTAGTCTAGCAGATTAACTCATTTACCTAATTTCCTGCATATTATAAAACACTTACTATCCATCCCCTTTTTCTCTAGGGGAAAATAAGTTTGTAATAAGGTCCTTGTGAGCTAATAAAGGATTTGGATTCTGATGCTTTGAAAACCTGTTTTCCTTTGCAAAAAATAGTAGGAAATTGGGTAGATAGTAAATTAATCAGTACAACTTATTATCTACAGTGGGACAGCTGTTAAAAACACTAGGAAACAGGGAAAGTGCTTTGGAATTTATAAAAGTAAAATAAAGCTGGATGTTTCCCAAGATTTTCTTTTCTTCAGAAAAGAAATTTCCTTCAACTCTGAGGTTTGGGAGACTCATCCAAGCTTAGCCTTTTATTTTATTCATAGCTTTGAGGCAGTTTTTCAGCTAAAATTAATTTTTCTACAGCCAACAAAAATCTCGGTACTGTTGCTTCCATGTCTTTGTTTTTTTTCTGCTGTTTGTTGTTGTTTGGTATTTTTTTAAATAAAAGAAGCGATATATAAAAGTAGTCTCATGATTTGAGGAATTTCCTTTGCCAAATTTTAGGTGCTGTCTTCAACATCAGATTGGTTTTACCTTAAAAATTTAATGAAAAGAAAAGGGTTTGTGTGTGTTCAACTTCAAAGGATTTATTCATATTAATAATTATTCCAGGCCAGTGTTAGTGCAGCTGAAGCAATGCAGCTGAGTGTGTAGTTTTTTCCTCTGGTTATTCTGTATTTTTGTTTCTGTGTATATGCACCCCTCATGTGACACTTGTGAAGACAGGGACAGCACAGCTACTGAGTAGCTGCTGCGCTGGCTGTCAGGATCCTGAATAATGGCAGAATGATTATTTTAATTCTTCATCCCCTGATACTTCCAGTTGTGATAACCCCTCCTGAGTCCCAACTAGAAAATGAACTGTAGTTACTGCAATGGTAGCTGATGGATTTCCACGAGCCTTTCCTCTGACACGTTGTCTTTCATCCACAGACCCATTCTGAAGAGAGACCGTTCCAGTGTGAGGAATGCAAAGCCCTGTTCCGAACCCCCTTCTCTCTACAAAGACATCTGTTAATCCATAACAGTAAGTGCAAAGTCAGAGGCAAAACAGCTTTCTCCATTCTCATATGTGACTGACAAAAACAAACATGTGCCACCTTGCTCCAATATACAACTTGCTGTGTTAAATTGGTACTAGGACTCAACTCTGTACCCATGGAGTTAAAAAATTCGGAGCCTAATTCAAACCTTGCCTTCAGATGCACTTAAAGCAAATCCAAATATGCTGTAGAAAATCCAGCAATGACTTGAGGTCTGATGGCAAGGAATTTATTTCTGCATTAAGTGTGATAGTGTTGCCTCCGTTTTAAGAAAGGACAAATGGAAACAGAGATAAGTTGGTGACTTGCTCAGTTTTTGTAGGTAATCCAGTTTAGAGCTTGACACTGAGACTGTCTCTCCTGTGCCAGCCCAGGCTCATGTTTGCTGCCTCTGGCACAGAACTGGATCAGCTCAGAGAAATGCTGTGGCCATTTTTGCTCATGAGTAACTTTTCTTGGCATTCTGTCCTTTTTTTTTTTAGTTGACTGTGTTATGATTTATTTTTGGTGGAATTTTCTCCATCTTTAATACTTGGAGAGCCTTAGATTATCATTCAATCCTTTGAAAATCAACAGTTTAAATTTTAGAAAATGCTCATGATCTAAAATCCTTGCAGCTTGGAAGACAGTACTTTGTTTTGGGGAATATTCACACTGGCATAACTAAGAAAACCACAAATCTTTCATTTTTTAATCCTGCATAACAGTGTTTCTGTTAGATGAATTACTGGATTGGCATGTTCAGTTTGTTCTTTTGTGATTTTATTTTAAAGCTTCTGCAGTTTTTTTAAGCATTGGATGTCATAAATGTTTTTCCCAATGTTAAATGGTAAAAATGATGGAGGAAAATGTTAAAAACCTGTTCAGTAGTGTGTATTCTGATGAATAAGCATTTCCAGAATATCCAAAATATGTGATTCACGGTGTGCTGAATTGTAGGTTTATTGTAGGTTTTCCTGAAGGTTTCTCTAAAAACATACGGTGTGACTTTTTTTTTTAAGAGGGTGGTAGCTCAGGAAGATCTGTTTTTCTCTTTGTTAGGTGAGAGGACCTTCAAGTGTGATCACTGTGATGCCACTTTTAAAAGAAAAGACACATTAAATGTTCATATTCAAGTTGTACATGATGGACATAAGAAATACAAGTGTGACCTGTGTGACAAAGCTTTTGTGACACCCTCAGTCCTAAAGAGCCATAAGAAAGTGAGTAGAATCAACTGATCATTTCTTGTGTGTCCTTAAGGTTGTCATTCCATGTAGAATCCCCAGCTACTTCTGCCTTTCTGGCTTTTCAGTAGAAAGCTGTGATTGTCCTTACCCTAAAATGCTGATTGCAGTAGTGGGGTTATTGGTGCTCAGCAGACTCTACAGGTGGTGCTTGTTATAAATTCAGCATAGGTGCTCCAGCATCATGTGTGTGGGAGGATGGGCCTGGCTGCACTGCTCTTACCACCCTCCTTTCCACCAAACTCTGCCATGGAATTGGGGTAAACTTTAGGAGAAGGCTTGCTCACTAGTTTGGCCTGAGGTAAGATTGATGTTACAGGGAAGAAATGCAAAGAAAATAATTGTATCAAGAAAAGTCAGCTGAGAAAGGTTAGTTAAGGTGCTGCCACCTAATCCAGATTGTGAGAATTTCTTTAAAAACATCATGCATTTATTGCTTGCCATATAGTATGTGCTTCGTACATTTGTGTAAAATCAGAATTGCTTTTGCTTTGTGTTCCTGTCAGACTAGGACTTGGCTGTGTTTGTGAACCTTGTAGTTGTACTGTATTGCTCCCAGAAATCCTTTTGGTATTTGGGTATTTGGAATTAATTAGTAGCTGTCTGTCTGGTATATCCCAATGTTGCTGGTAGAGATGCAAGTGCTTTCCAAATAACTATATCCTAATCAAGAGGCATTTAGCATTCATAGCTTTAATGACAGGGAATGAAAACAGTGCAAGTCTATCCAATACTGAAATGAGATCTCATTTACTCTTGCTTCAGCTGCAGTATAAAATGTACTATGTGAGAAAGGTTTTTTATGATGTAATGAAGAATTTTGTGTCATTATGGTGTCTTTTCATCAACATAAGAATTCATTTCCCTGTCTGAAGAGGGTCATGTGCTACCTGGAAACCAAAATAGTCAGCTGCTCATATAATTGAATGTGTTATCTTTCTATCTCATTTAAATTAACACTTCTAAATGAAGTAATCAGAAATTTTCCACTAAAAGAACAGCCACAGTTATAAGGAAAAGTAATTCAATAGACTGATAAATTTTCAGTTCAGAGTTGTGTGTTTGAAAGTACAGTATGAAAAGTGATGGTGACCTTGGGTGTAATTGATTTCAGGGTGATCTCGCTGTTGACTACACACGTTGGATGGGAGAGTTTGTAATATGTTTTTTTTCTATTTTGAAATAATTCTACTTATATCAGTGAGTCTCTCCAGCCCTAAAACTTGATTTCAAAAGACAAACGCAGTGATTTAGTGCGGGTGATAGTTACAATAGTCTTTTTGTGATCAATTCTTTAACACCTAGAGCTACTTAGAGTCTTTGCCTGGTATGATGGTAGAATACATAATAGAGGTAATAGCAGTCAATGCCAATACAATTAAATATTCCATATTTCACTTTTCTATTTAATGCTGAACACTCATTTTTGTCCTTCCCTTCCCCATGTAGACTCACACAGGAGAAAAAGAGAAGATTTGCCCATATTGTGGACAGAAGTTTGCAAGCAATGGAACACTGAGAGTTCATATTCGAAGCCATACAGGTATTTATTGTGATGAAGAGAGAAGATTTTCTAAATCTGTAACAAGGTATCTCTATGTCCACAATTTATCTATCTACAAACAGGCAAATTTACAGGTACGCTTAACACAGCATCTTTGTCAGACATTTTACCTGCTTAATGTGTAAAAACTGTTGTCAGGTTTCATTTTGCAAGTTTACACTTTCATTCAAATACGTGGCATCAGGTGCCTGAAAGAGGTTTCTTTGTGATAATTTGTTTACAGCGTAAAATGGTGTAGATTTGCCTTTGGCATGACATTTTCTTCCCTCTGCATAACCCAGTTTGGCTCGCAGGGAGATGACAGTAATTTCTGTATGCTGCTTGCTGATGTTACCCATCAGTTTGCATGGAGCAGAAAGCCCCAGTTTTTCAAGCTCGTAGTGCAGATGGCTCTTGGGAAAGTGCTCTGAAGATGTCCAAGTAAAAATGCTTTTCACATGTGTGTTGCTACCAGTTAGATTTCAGCTCTCTCAAGCAGGCTTTCCTAAATTAGGAGTTGGACTAACATGAGTTTTGTGAAACCACACACCAGGGACCTCTAACCCTGAGTACAGAACCCTGCAAAATTTGTATCCTATTGTAAACAGGAGGCTGTGACATTTTGAACTTACTTGAAGCAGAAAGGCATGGAAGAATTCTAGTACCTTTGTAAATTAAGTGCAGGGGGAGAAACTGCCTTGCCATGAGATGATACAGGTTGGAATTACAGCAATATAGAACGTGGAAGCAATTTATGAATGAATAATGGTGCAGGAGGGAAACTTTCAAGGCCCCCCCTTTTTTTTTTTATTAAACCTGAGAAGCTAGAAGCAGTCATTGGGTCATTGTACTGTTACTAATTCAGGAAAAATGCCTTGCTAAATTCATTTATAATGAACTGATAAATAAACTCTGATTAGTTTCTCTTCCAGTCCTGCTGCTAATACAGTGTCAGTTACATTTTTGGTGGTTTGCATCCATTACTGTGAGAATTAACCAAAATAGGTTTTCATGGTTGTTTTTGTCACTCTGTTATGGTTCCTGGCCAATTTTTTATGATCCTGATGAATAATGGGGGGGGGGGGGGCTCCTAAGTTGTGACTTTAGGTTTAAAAATAGTATTTTTATTACATGGCAAAATGCCTAATGTAAGGTTGAGTGAGAAAATGGCGTAGTTGGATTCTTGTTGCAAATCTGGAGAGGTGGTTTTGTTTGGTGCTGTACCTGAGGGCTTCAGCCATGTTGTTCTTGGTCGTAACACAAGCACACTGATCACGAGAGGAAATTGTTGTCCAATGTTCAGTGAGCCTGAGGGAACATGACCTTCTGAGGAATACCTTGCATCATTCCCAAACAGCGTAAGAGGAGCTGCTGAAGGAAATCCAGGTCATCTCCAAACAGGGTAAAAGAAGGTTGAGTATTCATAAGTTCCCTACAATGTGAAAATCCTTGACAACTTCTCAGGGAATTTCTGAGCAATAGGAAATGTTCAGTTCATCAAATAGTGGAGCCACAAACTTACTTTATTTAGAGATGAATGTTTGGTTTCTAAGTGTTGCAGTGATTTGTACTTTATGGTATTAGTATCTGTTAAATTCTTTGGATTTGAATTAATAATTTCAAAACTATGCCATTCTTTTTTCTCTTTGGTCAGACTGCCAAGTATCACTTTCCATTATGAGCTAGAAGTGAAACAAGCAGCCACTGTCTTTTCAGGAGATGATTCATCCTTCTGAATAAGCCTTGAGCTTTTGGTGCAACTAAGCAGTCCACCATAAATGTAAATATTGCAAAGACCTCTTGTCTTAGTGATTACAGGTGATGAAGTTTGAGGTCTGTGTCCAGACATTTGTATTATCCCATTTTCTGTTTTTGGTCAGGTAGACTTTGTGTTGTCTACTTTGTGTGAGAGGTTTTGTTCTGTATTTACAAAACAAATTCAGGTAGAGGTTATTTTAAAGAGAGTTGTACATCACTTTTTTTCCTCCTTATATCTATGAAGTTATTCTTTACAAAAGCTGAGGTTCTAGGGTACCTCTCTGGTTCTGCTTTGGAATGGTATTTTTGATATGCTTGATAATCCATGTGCAGAACGAGGAGCTTAGTGGGGTTTTGTCTTTTATTTCATATGCAGCATGTGCTCTTAAATGTTATTCCACACAGACATGCATGCTTCCTAGAGAAGCAATTTTCTTCCCTCTTCTGTGTTAGAATAAGACTCTGTAAATGAGCTCAAACAGCACTTGGCCTTTTGCAGCAACTGAGCTGGTTTGGGGTGAGTGAACATGTCTGCATGTGCATGTACAGAGGGAACGGGGTGATGTTTGCCTCTGAACCTGGAGTGTTGCTCTGTAATTCATCATCTGGGTTTCAGCCTTGGCATGACACAGACAGCACTCTGCAGGTCAGCTGAAACACTAGAGCACATTCTCCCTCTCCTGTATCCTGTTGGTTTATGACTTCTTAGGGTCACAGGGAGCTGGGGTTAATACAGCAAAAGAATCCTTTGACTGTGATATAAATTCCTTGGCTTGTTCATAAATTGTAAAAGAAGTCCTATGGTCTGCTCCATGGGCTGGAAACCCGGGGCTGGGAGGTTAATTGCTTCCCTGAAGTTTTAAGCAACTTTCAGTGTTAGCAGTTTCTGGCTGCAGTTTTGCAGCTTCTCAGTTGCCTTATGCATATCTGTTTAAAGGTGTTAATTGCTCTGGGGCATGTGTATGGATTTGTTTGTGCCTGTGTGATCTGGGTATAAACACACACATATTTTAGCTCTCTGCTGTTTATACTGTTGCCTTCCTAATTAGTTGTGTCCTAATCCTTTCCATCCTTGGGATGTAGCACATCAAGCTGTGCAGCAATCAAAGTTGTTCTCAACTGGTTTATATTTACAGGTAAATTTCTTTTAGAGTTAGCAGAATTAAGTAATTCTGTAATTCTGTCCTTTCTATACTGTTCTTTCCCTACTGATACAAAGACTGATGAGGAACAACTAATGACTATAAATATCCTGCAGAAAATTATGTGCAAATATGGGTTAAAATATAATCTTATTTTGCTTTTACAACTACAGTTAGTCCAAGTCCTGATAATAAACCAGTAAGATAATTTACATCTCTCCTAATTTTAAAGCCCTGGCTTACTGTGTCTTTCTTACATGTTACATGCTCTGCTAGGTGCAAAAAGCAGGTTTGTTTTTTAAGCACGAGTTGAGAAGGTTCTTTGCAAATTTACTTCCATGTGGATGAGTAAAAGATAATACCAAGAAATTACATTAAAACAGCAAAAAGCATTTGGATCACAGACTTCTATATCCTTTATGCTAACATGACATTTTTCAATTTATGTAAGAAGAGATTGTTTTAGAAGCTTTCGAAAATATAGAACTTGAGGTGCTGATTGCCTTCTTGAAATTCCTTCTGCACTGAGAGTGTGATGTTATGCACCTAATTTTGCAATTGTAGTCCCATTTCTACAACTTAACAAAGCTTCTGAGCATATTTACAATCCTATTTAAGTCCCAGCTATATAGATGTCTAAGTTCAAATTTTGCACTTCTAAGACAAAATTCTTAGGCAAGCAAAATATTAGTGGTGGAGTTATAATAATAAAGATCTTTGGTTTTTAACAGTAGTTCAGTCATCTCTGAACACAGAAGACTTCAAAGTAGTTGAAGGAAGTAATGAGTTCAAGTACAGGATAATTTTTGTTTATTATGGTGTGAGATATATCACCAAAGGTTTAATAGCTAAACAAGCAACTGTTTGCTCATGTACATAATAATGTACAGCCAGGATCCTCATTCCGGCAGATCTTCTACTAAATTACCTTACATGTATTTTCTTACATAGGAAAAAAGATAAAAGGCATGCTTGAAGGAACTTCCTCTCATATGCCAATGAAGTATGTGAAAGAATGTATCTGTATCTAGTCAGTGAACAGCTTGCAAATGTCTACAGATAGGCTCTTTCTATGAATAACTTATAAATGATCCTTCTTTTATCTACCCAGTTTAAAAAGGGGCTTGCAGAAGGCCTCAAAGGTAAGGATTCTGCATTTCTAAACCTTTCAGTTTATACATCATTGTCTTGTTCGTCTCCAGACAACAGCTAAATCTTTAAAAATACCTGTAAAGTTTCATGCAGCTGTCAGCTTCTTGCTGTCTGTACCCATGAATGAGGAAATGTTCTTTTGAGGGGTAGATTATTTGAATGAGACCTCTTTAGATCAAATGAGTTACTGATGGATTAATACATTTCTTTAAAAGACTTAGTTGACCATTGGGTTCACTGAAGTAATAGATGTTGCATTTTCCATTAGTAGAGAAATCAGATTGTTTAATTCCACTGATAGCTGCAAAGAATGGAACTGGTTTATTCTTTAAAGTTGTGTCTGTGTTTTATTACTTAAGATTACTTAAAATCTTGATGCCACTGTAGAACTGATGAGAGGCTGTAAGTAAGTAATAATGGTAGTTCATGCCTTACTGCATGGATTCAGATAGTCTTATTTTGTCGGGATTTTTACTAGTCTTTATGATTCAGTTAGTGGCAAATAGCCAATATCTCAATTACGTAATGATAATTTTGATGGACCAGATAGGGCAAGCATTTTATTGGTCTTAACTGGAAATAATCTGAATTCTTTGAATAAACGGTAAACTTTGCAGAAAACCAACCACCTCAGCTGTGAAAATACCGCTTCTATACCTCAAAAATTAAAGTATGGCTAAATACTTAGAAAAAGATAAGTAACAGAAAAAAAATGTTTCAAGCCTTCTGGTTTTCCCTTATTTTGATAGAATAGGATTTGAGGTTTTTTCTTATTAAATATATGACTGTTTTTAGTGGATGGGAATTGCACGTAGTTGATTTACGTGAAACCAATTCTAGTTCTCCCTGGTGCCTGGAAAATGAGTGTTGGAGTTTGGTTAGAAAGCATTCACAAATACACAAACTTAGAGTTATTCATCATCAATGAGGAAACAAACCACCTGAAAA